TTAAAATATTTTTAAAAATAATTAATTCTAACTCACTAATAATTAAATTAATAAAATAATATAAATTACCGTTTGATTTCAACTTTGACTAAAAATCTTTGCATTTTATTAATATTTTTGTATAATGTTAATGTACTCACAAGGAAAGGAAATTTTAATAAAAAATAAATTTTATATTGGAAAATTGATATTCAAATATTTGTAAAATTTTGATTCAATTGGGGGGAAGGGGGAAGGGGTAAAAATTTTATTAGCTTAAAATGATATTTATGAAAACAATCAAATTTACTATAGGGGGGGGAGGTTTCCTCCTTCCCCCCTCCCATTGGTTATGCCCTGCATTTTGCTAAAACAAATATCACATACAAAATAGTTCATCATTATTTATCTCATAAAATGATTCATATTATGGGTACTTTGTCTCGTTATAGCCAAATTAAATAATGAGATAATTTCACATATCACATAGTATAATTTATACAATAAATAATCATTTATTTAAATTGGTACATTCATGTCAATAAAACCATATAAATTGGATATCCAAAATATTATTGATGCGATAGTTGTAAGGTAGTTAACCTTACAAATTATTGTGATCATAAATATATATGTATTATAAAGTCCTAATTGCGTAATCTAATTAGGGTTATTAAATAATTTAAACAATAATAATCAATTAAGCTTTAACTGTATGCTTGATTAGTATTTAGAAATTATTATTACTTAATAAATACTTTTTGTTTGTCATATAATATGATATAATATGTTATATTTAAAATCTATTTATTATCAAATTTCAAAAACTGATAATTCTATAATATGAAAATAAAATTTAAAATTCTAAAATAATAATATACATCAGTGACAAAGCGTCAAGTTTAAGTACTGAATTATAAATGTTATTGCTAGATTTAAAATTTTTTAATAAATTTTTTTCATTAGAAATCACAAATCAAAAATAGATTTAAATTTAATTTTTTTTTTTTTGCGTTAAATAATTTATTCATTAGAAGTTAGCGGAATAGCTATAATTTAAATTTCTAAATAAATTTGTTTGCTTTAAAAAAATTTGTCTGCTTAAAATAATTTTGTGCATCAATGGTATAGTTTATAATTAATCGGCGTAATGGCTAAGCAAGGATTTTTTAAATTCCTTTGCAAAGTTTTAATATTATATATTAATTTTTTTTATTATATTAGTCTTAATATTTTTATAATATATATTTATTTAAATTATATATCTATAAAACAGATACAGATACCTCTGAAATAGTGTATAGGTCAATGACATTGTCATTGGTATAGATATAAATATAAATACTTTTTATACAACTCTGATTAGTAAATTTTCAATAATATAATTACAATTATTAAACATTAATTATTGCTACTAAAAAGGAAAAAAAAATTATCTAAAAAAAGTAAGGAAAAAAAAAATACAATTAAAATTTTTTCTCTCTTTTATTTATTAAAACGACAATTTTTTATTTGCTTCCCCAATGCTTATATTCAAACGTAAAATTACACAATACATTCGCTTGATTTTCTCTTTATTTATTAAAAAAATAAGTAATATTAAATTTGTTTCCCTCATCTATATTTTTTTAACGTAGTAAATATAATAGTAAATTTTTTAACATAGTAAAAATAATAATAATTCTTCTTAACGTCGTAAAAATAATAGTAAAATTTTTAACGTAATAAAAATAATAGAATTCTTCTTAACATAGTAAAAATAATAATATAAAAATTATATTTTTTTCTACGAAGTCAGATTAGTTTGTTTAAACATATAAAGATCATATTAGGTTTATTTAAGAATTTTATAGGAACAATTTCAAGGGAATTTATATTATAAAACTAAAATAACTATTGATACTGATATTCCATTTTAACCCAGAGTTTTTTTGCAATTGTTAATGAAATTGTAATATATTTTATAGTATTAATCTAACAATTAAAATAGCACTCCTTTAGTCAAAATTTATAAAATTTTATTAATTTTTTAAAAATAATATCAAATCTAAATAATACATAATATTCAGGAGGCTATTAAAAAGATGTTATCAAAGAGAGCTATTAAAAGGGGGCCATTATGATGCCGGATTATATTTTTCAAAAATATTATATTATGATTAATTTAGATTTGTTAATATTTGCAGCAAGCAAGCTCATAGTCATAACATTAATATAGGATCAATAGAAGAGTATTATAAAACAAATGTCCCATCTCTCAGATACATTAATAGCCCAAATAAATGAATGGATTTTAATTCATCACACAGCACTAACCAATTTGCAGAACTTTCACAAATTCCCAACCTTTTCAGATGGTGATAGAAAAAAAATAAATATTTATAAAATTTTTATCATGAAGATGTTAAAGTATCTTATGATGCCTTATTAGCTGAATAACTATGATTAAAAGATTAACTATGGTTGATATAGTCCCAAAAAATGCTATGGATGCTTTGTATTATTTCAAACACATTTTAGATTATATTCCCAATGTATTAAATTGGTTATATATATATATTAACAACTCTTCCCATTATAAAGTAATGAGAGAACATTCTCTTTTTTAAGAAGATTAACAGAGCCCTGCAGAAGTACCATTTGCAGGGCAGGGCACGGCTCGGATTTTTTTTTCAATATTTTTTCGGTCCGGCCCGGCCAAATTTTTCTAAAATATATTATATTTATTTTTCATTTTTATAGCTAGTAATGGCGATTTATTTGGTTTTAAAATATATAGCCCGGCCCAGATATTTTTTTAAAAAAAAATTTGAGGCCCAGCTCGGGTGTTTTTTTTAAAAAAAAATTTCGTGCCCGGTTCGGGTATATTAAAAAAAAATAAAATACGGTCTATCCTGGGTTCGGGTTTGCAAGTCTCTGAGAAGCATACCTATGAAGTAAAACTTCTGAAAGTACTAAATGGTTTGGATCTTTTGAATATTCATAGGCATTTAACGCCAAGCAAGGATGAGATAATTAATTAGCTCAAAACATATAAAATACAATTATTCCCAACATAGGCGTAGCCGGGGGGGGCAATGGAAAATTTTCCCCTTTCAGAAATTTATCACTTTTTATGAATATCATTTTAAGCTAATAAAAAATATCCCCCTTAGTCCTCCCTTTACTCCCCGACCCTCCAAAATGTATGCATATATCTTAAACAATGATTTGAAAGAAAGAATGTAAAAGTTGATATTTTTTTTATAAAACTATTTATCATAATTTATACATTTTTGGAAAAAAGCATTTATATATAAAAAAAGTGAACCAAAAATGTTTTTAAGAAATGTAATATAAGCCAAAAATAAGTCTTAAGACAAAAGTGAAATGAATTATATAATTATAGATCCATAAAATTTACTAAATAATATAATATTTTAGATATAATTTTTTATAAAGTGAGTAATTTTAATTTATTTATCTTAATAATAGAAAAATATAATTATAAAACTATTGATAAAATTAAATCATAAATTAAATAAAAAAATTAAAACACAATACAAATAGTGGAATATTATATGTCGTAGATTTACAGTTTATCTAATTTTATCAATTATAATATGACAATCAAGTAATTTTTACCAATATAGCGAATTATATATTTTACAGAAAACTATAAAATATTGATAAGGACATCAGAAAATATCTTTTAAATGGGATGAATAATATGAAGATTAATTTTTAATATCATATTTATGTAAAATAAATAGATGGCGTTATGTAATAGAATACAAATTGTTGCTATATTTATTACAAATTTATTATCAAGAGCATTGATTAGTAAAATTTGTTAAAATATTAACTGTAATATATTCTATAACTGTCACATATGTCTGTAAAAGTGGAATTTACCTAGTATTCTAATTCTATATAATAGAGGAATATCAACTATATGTCTTCTAGCTTTTATAAATAAATTTCTTATACTTGTTTGGAATAAATTATTACCATGCTTTAATATTAATGTATATACAAGTAATTTATTATATTTTATATAAACTAATAAAAATATATTTTATATAAACTAATAAAAATATATTTTGAATAAACTAATAAAAATATATTTTGAATAAACTAATAAAAATATATTTTGAATAAACTAATAAAAATATTTTTCATATTTGTTCTAGGCTTATTTTTTTATTTAACCTCCTATCTTGTAAAAATATTTTTATTTTATATATATAGAAGAAAAATCCTGGCTACGCCCATGGTTCCCATGAAACTTCTTGTGTACTAATTTATATTTCCAACATTTAGATTTTTTATACTTTATATATAAATTTTAAAGAGTCAAAAAATTCAAATTTCTTTTTTTTAAATGATTCATATGGTGGTTATATTCACTTTATATTATATTTCACATTTATTATATAGTTTTTCAATGCCGCCAATATTCGTTTAATATTTTTTAATTCACATTTATTTTAAAGCTGTATTATGCCGGTTTACAAATACATTTTTTTTTATAACTCACATTAATTTTATGTGTATTAGAAAAGTTATTAGTCCTAATTTATGCTTAATGATATTTCTTAAACATTTTTTTATCCACCCACCCCCCCCCCCCTTCCCCCAGACTAAATTTCTACTTACGCGCTCGGGGGGCTACGCTATTGTTTCCAAGGGCAGAAAAAAAATTAGTATTCGTTATACTTTAAATAACAGTATTAAAAAAACAGCAAATTTTTACCAAATCATATTTCTTATTTTTTTAAGTGTGGGAGGTGGGGCGGAGTGTCAGGTTTTTAAATTTCAACCTCTGCCTCACTTTGCTATAGAGGCGAAGTCCATTTTTTATCCCTCTACCACCATTTTAATAAGTCAAACTAACTGTTTATCGAAAATTAGATGCAGTCGCATGTAGGCAAGGTAAAGTAATATAATATACATGATTTAACTATTTTTACCCACTATTAAATGCTAAACTATTCATTTGAGTGACAATATTTTTAAATCATATTAGTTGTCAAAATATTCGACCAATTAAAAAATAATAATATTGTTGATTGAAATGTATTGTTTTAAAGCCTGAAAGCCTAGATTTGTGTTAATTTTTTTTTTACTAATGTCTATGAAAAAGAAAACTCTTCTCAAAGTTATTATATTAGGAGATAGTGGGTAAATATTATAAAATACAATAATGTTTTTTTAAAATAATATATTTTTTCATAATAAGAGTTGGTAAAACTTCATTGATGAATCAGTATGTTAATAAAAAGTTTAGTAACCAATATAAAGCTACCATTGGAGCAGATTTTCTTACAAAAGAATTAGTTATTGACGATAAGGCCGTAACAATGCAGGTAATATTTTAACCAAATTTATATTCATAGTATATTTTATATATTACAGTCATTTTGCAATTTTAATATCATGAAACTTATTATCAGCTATGTGCACTTATATTGTTACAATATTTTTGATAAAATTGTTGATTATTAAGATTATTTTTTCTTATAGATTCTAATTTTATAACAAAACAAATTATTAATAATATTAATTAAAATTTGAGCCATTTAACAACACTAATTAAGATGTATAGATGACCTATAATAATTAATTTCATTTTTAAAAGTTATTTTGCATATATTCTTATTTTTTTTAGCAAATTATTTTTTATAAGTTAGGTTTTAGAATTAAGATTACTGAAAAGAATTACCATGACTAATTTTTTTTTTAAAAAATTATAAGACAATTTTATAAATGTAAGCAATATGACTGAGCTAATATTTTTTTTTGTCCACTTGATAATAATATGTGAAAAATTTAATTTACAATGCTGATAGTTGTTTCTTATTTTGTTTATTTAAATTACCAAATGCCAATTTTCTCATACCATGGGAATTTAAATATACATAGGAACTCCATATTAAAGTTCAGTTCTACATTTAAAAAAAAGTTTATCTGTCCAAAAAATTTAAAATTCTGGTAAGATTTTTTACTGTATTTTTTTGTGAATTTACTATTCTATTTAGATTTAGTGCATTTTATTAGACAGCTCATATAAAACAAATATTAACTTAAACTTTAAAAAAAATTGATGTCCAGTTTGCCCCAAAATTTTATGGAAAATTAGAAGATTTGTGAAGCCCAACTTTTTATGTATGATATGTTGCCCATTATAATATTTTTTTAATTTATTCATATGGGTTGGTTTTGCAGATTCCTAATAAGCAATGAAAAACATTTCAAAAACTTAGTGTTGTTAAACAGTACAATTTAGCCGATTTTTAAAAAGGTTAACTCAATATTTTAGCCAGAAAAATAGTCTAACTCAACATTTTGCTAATAAATGCCCAAACCTTTGTGTTGTCTCTGAGAAAAATCTTCAGGCTTGCGAAAAATTTTTCTGGAAAAAATATTGAGTTAGCCATATTTAAAAATTGGCTCAAAACAAGCTGTCTAACTACAGTACAAAAACTTAAACAATAATTAAACTTTAAAAATAAATTATACAGCATTTTTAATATAAATAAATTAGTTATACTTTTGTTAGAACTATTTCCAGTTCCTGGATTTTGAAATAATCTTTGGTAGATCTTAGAATTCTTATAGTTCTAGTCAGTTTCTAACTGCTCCATATATTTTTGATACCATCATATTCAGAATAGAGTCTTGGAGAGATATATTAATAAAATAGGCAAAAAAATATTTACTTCCTATTCCTTCCATTTTGCCTGATATAATATCAGTACTACAATTAAAACATATAAAAAATTTTTAGGAGGGTTAAATATTTTTTTATTAAATAGAATAAAATATTTTACCATCATTTAGTTATTAAAGTTGTTGCTGAATATTTATATTCATTGCCTAACATTAAAAATAGAGAATAAATAAATATTTTAAGTTGATGCATTATAATTTAATTACATTTGTATAAATTTGGGCCATGAGCAAGGCCAATCTAGTCATTAAAATCCACTGGGCTTTGGGCATTCTAGTGCAAAAAATAATCTAAGTAATGAAAGGTAACTTAGTTTACATCTAAGTTAATTTTATGGGTTCCTTATTTTTATTATATAATAGTAAAATTAAATTCTCATTTGTTATAAAAAATTATAAATTATGTACAATATAGAAAAAATTGGGAATGTAAATCATTTTATTTATTTTTCAAAATATTTTTAAAAACAGATCTGGGATACAGCTGGCCAGGAACGCTTTCAAAGTTTGGGTGTTGCATTTTACCGTGGGGCAGATTGTTGTGTGCTCGTTTTTGATACTACCGCACCTAATACTTTCAAGTCGCTAGAAAGCTGGAGGGATGAGTTTCTCATACAGGCCAGTCCCCAAGACGCCCACAATTTCCCTTTCGTTGTGGTAGGAAACAAGATAGACCTAGATAGCCGGGCAGTAATACATTACTTTACATATTCTTTATAAAAGTAATATAATTAGAAAAGTAAATAAATATCCTAAATTTTTTCTACCAAATGGATAATATATTAGTTAAAATCAAGTTAGTTAAATAATTTTTTTTTTATAAATTATATAAATAACCCATGACATACAATTAAGAGAATATTATACCTCTTAGTTAATATCTTGTTTAAAAATATAGATCATTCATCTCATTTCAAAACACAATTAGATAATTAATTATAATTATCTATTATAAAAAAAATTTACTTGTATTTTTTTTTAAACTTCATAAATATTATTATTTAAATAGTTAAAAAAGAATTGTATAACATGTTCCCATGCCAATATTATTGACTACTTATTAAAGGCTAACCCTGCATTCACAGTTATCGCAAATTCACAGGAAAGTTTACAAAATATATAAATTTAATAATTTTCCTTTCATTTTTGTATACTTCAACGCAAACTGATAACTCTGAACGCAGGGCAATGCATTCATAGTAAGCACGATTTGCTTAAGCGATGCAAAATTAATCGCTAGCGAAATCATAGCTGATTCGTCACCACTATAATACTTTTTGATATATGTGAACAGCCATCACGATTTTATCATTTCGCTCCATATTTATCAATTGTATCTATTGTTAGCTTTAGAGTTGTTAAACGGTTCGATTTTTATAAACTGCTAATCCATTATTTTGTCAAAAAATATTAACACAAACTTGGAGTTCAGAAATATTTGGAAATTAGACTTGCGCAATATTATTTTGGCTAAAATATTAATTTAAAATTCGCAAAATCGGGTCTTTTAACAACACTCGCTGACTTGCTTTCGTAAATTACGCAGGGGTCATTCCATGTCAAATGAGCAAAAAAATGAGATTTTCGGCCGACCCCCTTCGATTTTTTTAAAATTTAGTAAGCAAAGAAAGGTTAGTGTAGTTAAGGAATAGCCAAAATTTTAGCCTCGTAACATTTATATTTTTGGAGATATTAGGGTTCAAAGTGGCAAAAATGACGTATTTTTACCATTATCTGCCTTCATTCAATTAAGCATATCTTATAAACTATCTAATTGTAAATAACAAATTTATAATATCAAAATTACGTACAAAGATTCTACTTTTAGATAAAAAAAATTTTTTTTTTTCAATTTCCGGCCATTTTATTAAATATATAAGGACTAAAAACGATTTTTTAGAAATTATACGACCTTCAATTTTTTAAAAAAATTTAGTAGACAACACTGAACTCTTCCTTTATATTTATAAAAAAAAATTGGTCTGGGACGAGGTTATCTTCATTCTCAAAATCGATAAAAATGTTTAGAAAAGTGTATAAATATTTTCCCGAAAGGGGGCGTCTTTGCATAAATTTATATTTAAATCAGCTTTTAATGGTTTTTCTTAGACTATTTGATATAATTTAAAGGAGTATTTATCTTGTAAGTGAAAATAACAATAAATGGGGCTTTCATTCAATTATAGAAATTGCCTATCGATAAAAGAAATTCAATTTATTACTTTATTTATAATTTTTTATAAAATTTTTTGCTAATATAACATATATTAATATTAATAAAATATATTCAACCAAATTTATACTTCTTGAATATATGAATCAGAATCTTTAGCATTTCATATATGGCGCCCTAAATATTAAAAATAATTGATATAATATAAATTTTAAAATCTAATATATAACTCACTTTTAAAAGATTCTAATTTTTCGGTAGCGCATTTACTTTCTTGTGACGACAATGTGTAACTACGGCCAGTAGCAGTTAACGGTGAAACTAATGTTAAGATATGACATTTTGGCAAGTAGAGAGTGTCGTCTATACTTGGAAATGTAAAGGAATTAGAAGGTCCGGATGGGTGTAAAAACTTTATATATATTTCTTCCTCCTTTTGATTTTTCCCTAAAACTAAGGCTAACCACCAATTAGAATCATAAACACATGTTATATACCCTGATATCTCTCCAAAAATGATACTTTCATCATTATATGATAAATATTCTATATTACTTTCTATTGAATTGGAATACATTTTACTCTTAAATTGATGTAGACCTGTGGGAATCACCGTGTGAATTTTCTGTGTTCCAGGTATAGGTCTCGTTTTTGAAAACCTTTCCCTGAGTAATATTTCTTCGTGATCATAATTTTCTTGGGTCATATATTCAAAATATATGCCATTAATATTTTCTTTAGCGAACTTGTACAATTCATATGATGTGGTTATTTGCTTTGAGTAAGGTCTTTGTAAACTAGCTCTAGCGGCTAATCTTTTAACAGTGCCACCAATCCCATCACAAACACTTTTCCCATGTGCTGTAGCAGAAAAATGCCATTCCGCCTGTATCCCGAAATCCATCTCATGATGGCAAATATTAATAAAATTTTTACGATTTTTATACTGTGCAGCAGATCCATCGGAAAAATAAAAAATTTTATTTGGCATACAAATTTTATTAATTAAAAAATTTACCAATGTTTTTTGGAAATAATGTACTGCTATTGTATTGTGTTGCAAAGATTCGGATATCATTACATAATTTAGGCAACATATATTGGCTAAATTATCTTTATAATATATAACAAAAGGGTGAACAGTGGATTGAGCTCTATTCCAATGATAATTTTGTACTTCATCCTGAAGTATAAAGCTATAGTTTTCTGAAAAATCACATAAAATTAAATATTGGCCTTTGTCTAAGTTCAATTTTAGATTTTTTTGATACAATGATTGTTGCGTTGAAATAAAAGAATGGGGTAATAAAGATTCCATTTTTTCAAAAAAGGCATTGATAAATTCATCTACTGGCTTGGTTATTGTTTCAAGAGTGGTTCTATCTACGGATAGCCATTGTTTGTATGTTATAAATTCGATGTCCTTAGAACGAAACAATATTTCTATTTGGTGGCGTAAATTTGTTGACCCTGGACAATTATCACATTTGCCCAAATAACAGGATGGTTGAGGCGGATTACAAATTATTAAGGGTAAAATATGTTTATATGTTTTAATGGGCAACATATCATCTTTGGTTAAATTGGGTAAATTTGATCCAATGATCATTAATTTAAAATTTTGGTGGTAGCTGCAAACACAAACATTATGTGTACCACTACCTCTTACGAGTATACAATTTTTTGGGCGAATGCTTGCAAATTTCGAAAAACCGATTTTAACATCAGGCCTCATTTCTTTAAAAAATATATAAATTTCTTTCAAATTATCTAAAATTAATCTCTTTTGTATTGTATTCTTTTTTCCGTCTTCGGTCAAAATTGAAAGGCAATCTTTCTTGCCTGGCATGATTCTGCTTATTTCGTCCGTACAATAAAATTCTTGTACAATTTTAACTGTACATTCGTCTATAGTATTTCCAGGCTTGGGGTTAGGGGTTGATAAAAATCCCTTTTCCGCTATCAATAATTTAGCTTGTCTTGCCATGTATTTTGTTGTATTAAATTCATTCATTATTTTGGACACTGTCCAATTCTGTGGTAATATCGTCAAAATTTTATATTTATCAGTTTTAGATAAGAGTGAAAATTTTTTTTTAATATTGCTTAGAATACCATCATCTTTATCGATAGTAGCTGGCTCAATCGCATTTATATCTAAATGAGTTTCTATAGCCTTTTTTATTTTGGTAATTTTTTTAATTGGATATCTTTTTTCTCTCAACCTTTTCTTTTTTATTGTAGATTCTCCAATTTCTATCAATGATGTATTAATTGATTCATAAGCCAGGTTCTCTTCGATATGATGAATATCAGGGTCTTTAAATGCGTCATTTGACTTACTAGCTGTTCCGAGTTTTCTTCGACATTTATCACATATCTTATCATCTGAGTGAAGTGACATCCAAGATTGTACATTTCTAAGATTTGTAGTTACATTATTATGTTTTAGTATTTTAAAAGGGTTACAGCATCTAGTTTTTCGAATAAGATTTTTGTTCATTTTATTGAAATTCTATATGATAAAACAAATTAATATATAAAAATATCACCGAATATCTAATAATTACAGGTGTACCGATTAGGGGGTTAATCCGATACGATATTGCAGATATTATATTGATATCGGCCAAATAACCGATATCACTAATCTGATTTTGCTCGCTCTACATATTATATATTTTATCATAACTTAAAACAATAATTATAATTTAAATTAACCTAGTATTTCAGGACTATTTATTCATGTAAAATTCTATATAAAATTTAGTAAAAATATGGTATAATCATTTTTTGTTCCAAAAACCCTATTTTGATGTAGAAAGTAACTGGTTAATTTTTGAAAAAATTATTGATTTAGTTTTAAAACCAAAAATATCCTTATAAGACATTATTAATTATTTTCATTTAGTTTTTTATAAAATTTATCGCTTCAATTAAATAATTTTTTTACCTTTGATATTATAAGAATAATTAGAATTTATTATAAGAATAATTAGAATTTATTATAGTTTTTTAAAATACCAAGAAATTAATTAAAAAATGAATTAATATAGTGAGCATGTGTTATTGAATGATTAATCAATTTTAAATTTTTCTTTATTTTATTGATTGAAACACTCATTTATTCTTATTTACAAGTAAAGCTATGCCGATTTTAGAAAATCCGATCCAATATTTATATTGTTTGGGTTATTGATGATACTTTTATTTTGTATATAATTTTATAATAATAATAAATTAATATTTGTAATATTTTATTAGCTTTTCCACGTCAATGGAAGAATTATAATTCTTCATATATTATTTTTTTTTGGTAAAAACAAAACAATAAATACAATAATATGGAGACACAAAAAAAATATAATATATCTTGACTTTGAAAAATTTATTTTTTTTGCGACGATCACATTATTTTAAAAAATTGATCGATATTTGGTGGATCATATTTTATTAATATTCGTTAAATATATGTTATATGGGCAAATATATAATAATTATAAATAATAATGTAATAAATTGAGTTTCTTTTATCGATAGATAATTTCTATACTTGAATGAAAGCCCCATAAGTGAAGAAAATATTATAATTTATATTTACAAGATGAATAATCCTTTAAATTATATCAAATAGTCCAAGAAAAACCATTAAAAACTGATTTAAATATAAATTTATGCAAAGACGCCCCCTTTCGGGAAAATATTTATACACTTTTCTAAACATTTTTATCGATTTTGAGAATGAAGATGGCCTCGTCCCAGACCAATTTTTTTTTATAAATATAAAGGAAGAGTTCAATGTTGTCTACTAAATTTTTTAAAAAAATTGAAGGTCGTATAATTTTTAAAAAATCGTTTTTAGTCCTTATATATTTAATAAAATGGCCGGAAATTGAAAAAAAATTTTTTTTTTTTTATCTAAAAGTAGAATCTTTGTAAGTAATTTTGATATTAAATTTGTTATTTACAATTAGATAGTTTTTAAGATATGCTTAATTGAATGAAGGCAGATAATGGTAAAAATACGACATTTTTGCCACTTTGAACCCTAGTATCTCCAAAAATATAAATGTTACGAGGCTAAAATTTTGGCTATTTCTTAGTTACATTGACCTTTTTTGGTTACCAAATTTTAAAAAAATCGAAGGGGGTCGGCCGAATCGTGGTTGATTTGTCATGGAATGACCCGCAGCGAATAATTTAGCATCGCTAGTAAATCTCGCTTATTGTAAACGAAGCATGATGCGCCATACCATAGCGTTCAAGCGCATAATATAACAAACGAAAGAAAGTTGTAAAATATCGTATCCAAAAATTTGGATATATTAAACGGTACATTAAAAGTTTTATCTTCTATTTACTACTAGTTGTATTTAATTCCGAATAATTTCTATATTTTAAAGTAATAGGTGTATATATGTTAGCGGCAATGTGTTATTTTACAAACTTTAAATAATTTTTGAGCGCGTTTTTTTTTAAATTTAAAAATCTAATTTTACCGGCAACGTATTCCAACATGTTTAGAATAAAAGTTTATGAAATGCAGACAATTTTGCCGTTAATCTTTGAATCATTTTAAGTATAATTTTGAACAAATCATCAAAAATCTGGCAAATATTTTTTTTCCATAAAAAAAACTAAAATAAGTGCGATCTTGAAAAAATGAAAATATAATCGCAAAGTTCATGAATGATTTATTTTTATATAAACGAAACATTTCTCTTTTTTAAAACAAAAACGACAGATTTAGGTTCCCGTATAATTAAAATTAATAAAAATACATTTAATTTAAAAAATAACGATATATTTGAATATTTTACGGGCAAAAATGTTCATTAATGTCAATTTCAAACTTGCATTACTCTAAAATTTTAAAACCTTAACGTAAATTTTACAAAATTTGGTTGGACCACATAGTTTATTAAATATTTTTCAATATGAAAATATTAAATTTTTTTTTAGTATACTCACTGTATTTCCGGTAAACAAAATTAGTTTTTTTGGGCTAGCTCAACGTTGGGACGATGAAATTTACCCCATGTTTATTACCAATATTTATCATATAAGAATCGAATGGAGGAAATAAGAATTTAAATATTTGTTTTTAAAATGTTTTTTATATAGTCTTTATTCAAAATTGTATATTTTTGATATAGGAATTTTTTTAAATTTAATTAAGGCTAAGGTCTAAATTTTTTTAAAAAAATTTCTAATTGTTTAAAAACTTTCAGAAGTATTTTTTAAAAAACGACTCTAATGAAGCGATTTTGCATCACTATTTAAAAACTTATATACTTTTTTTTTCTATAAAGTTTAAAATTTTTGCGAATTTTATTTTTCTGAAATTTTGGACTAAGCCTAAAAAGTTTAATTTTTGTAATATTTAAAAATTTAAAATTTAGTTAAAATAATATTTAAGCTTCTTTTTTTTTCGTTTGAAAAAACAAATTTTTAGGTTTTTATAACATCCTTACATCGTTCTTTCCAACAGCAAGCGGTAAAATTATCCCTAAGGAAATCCCCCCCCCCACCCGTCGAAATCTTCTCCGTTCTATTGAATCCAAAATTAGCAAAAAAAGATTTTCCAATCAAAAAATAATTAACCACATTTTATTCAAATGTTTGCATATTCATAATTGCTTATCCTCCCCCATTTTATTGACAGCTGCTCCACATTGCCACCGGGGTTTTTTAACGATTCTAAGAAACATATTTAAAAATGATCGGCGATCAGTTTGTCTCCTGCCTTTTTTAAATTGTCCGCGGCCAGGCATTTATTTTTTTTTGATTTTTATTACTATATTTTTAAACCATAATTAATTACATCTATAATTAATTATAAATTAAATTAATTTATAAATATAAAATTTATGAAAATACTATAGTTAATTCTTTTCGCAATTAAAAAAAAATCCAATTTATGAAAGATATTTCCGTCAAACTTTGAATCCCACAATATTATTAAAAATTGGATCTAAAAAACTGTATAAGTACTCCTCTAATTACAAGATAAATCTGATATTTTACAGCTGAGAATTGAGGAATTCCTGATTGTATAAAGTATGTTTTTGGGATTACTTGTATTGTACTAATTTTTAATAGACTATAAGTGAATATATTTACTTTAATTATTTGTTATTTCAAAATTGGGCTTATTTTTATGATACCATTTATGATTTTATCAATCTGATTATTATTCTCATTTTCAGAAATTCGTTATACCAATTTTAAGCCTCCATTTTAAAATGAAATATTTAAAAAAACCAACTTAATTTTCATACATAAAATTTAGCATATTCATATTTACAAATCTTCGTTCCCTCATACAGATAGCCACCAAACGGGCCCAAACCTGGTGTGCCTCCAAAAACTCAATTCCTTATTTCGAAACAAGTGCGAAAGAAAGCACCAATGTCGATTCAGCGTTTTTAACAGTCGCTCAAGCTGCGCTTGACCGCGAAATTCGGTCTACTGCCGATGTTTTTGATTACGGTTTGTCAAGGGTCACAAATCCATCCAATCCGCATACTTCCGATGACGTTATCAAACTTAGAAACGAGACTGGTGGGAATATGGCAGGAAATTCTACGAGTAGCATCACCAAAAAAATTGGTGGTTTATGCAATTCTTGTTAATTGAAATCCATCTATAAAACTGAGTTTATGGGTGAATTTTTTCTTAAAAAATTTATACGCTTAGATACTGAATGGGAAAAGAAAATAAATGATTGTTTTAATTTTTAGATGGTAACACTTATATTGGGGTTTTTAATGTTTTATTTTTCTTATTCAGGCATTTTCTAAGTCTTTCTAAATACTGTTTCTATCATATTCTCTATGCTCTCTTCTATATTTTTTAAAAAACACTATAATTTAATTCATTTCTTATAATTTATAACACATAACTATTGAATGTCAATTTTAATAGATTTGTGAGGATAGGTTATTTTTCTTACCATATTTTTTTATGAGCTCAAACACTTTATCTCCCAACTTTTAAAACGTACACTTTATGACATCTAAATTCTGACGCTTTTATTGAATCACTAGATTCGGAAGAATGGCAACCATTATAATACTGTTTTTTTAAAACAATCATTTGCATGATAAGAGTTTTTTAAAAATAAGTTATAAGAGACAAAATGCATATTTTATTATAAATACTTTTTTTCGATTCAATACAATAACGCATCTTCCTTAATGTAGCACTAAATATATTTTATTTATCATTGAATAGAATCATTTATCATTGTTATAATTATATATTTTTTAGAATACTTACTAACTTAACACTATATTCAATAAAGTTATTTAAAATATTTTTATTACCTCTTAAATATTATTAATTTCGTTGCCAGTTGACAAACATTATTATTATTATATAATATCCGCAATCAGCCACACCCTTTTAATTGTAAAATTTAAATTGGCAATATTTTCCAAATCGATCAATCTAAATATTCCTTAGTAAGCAAAATAAACTTTTGCATACAAAAACCACATTACATATTAATAATAATACTTTGTAAACTCTTATACGTGATCCAAAACAGATAATGATATTCGGATGTATGAATATCGCCAAAACTCATATAGTTAGGTTTAAAAAAAATTTAATCTAAAAAGGTGCCCAAATTAATGTCGAATGTTAAGCATATTTTTTAAAACACTTTTAAATGCAACTAACATTTTATATTATTTAAAAAATATTATAATTTGACAATTTTATTAAAATATCATTGTGAGATTGAGAATAATAACATTATTATCCTTGCAAAAATGAAGATGCAATAAAATTTTATTTAAAAAAAAACATAAATAATTCTTAAAAATTTATAAGCACCAAAAATAGGGAAAAAAAATTATGGGATAAATATTTATATAAGTTTTATTAATATTTTTATAAGAATGCAAAAGTAGGCAAAAATATAAACGAATCCAAACTATTAAAAGTGTAGAATAGTCTATCGTTTTTTTTCCAACAAATAAGAACACCGAACGGAATATTTAATTAAAATCTATAGGAGGCGGTCTATCGGGAATCAGGGAGGTAAAGAAGGTGACAAAAATGAAGAGTATGGTCTTGGTGCAGTTCCAAAAAATATTCATTTTGGCTACTATCTTTCTGATAATAGGGCTGGTTTCATTTTCTTCAGGATTTGGTAGAACCTATTATTTAGATTTGAAAACAATTTATATATATTATAAATATAAAAGTAAATAATTTTTTTTTATCGTATTTGCGAAATAAATAAGGTAAAAAAAAATTCGAAACTCGAGATCAAGTAAATATCGGATATTTTTTGGTATTTAGATAACCTTTTAGGATATTTGGCAAAACCTTTAATTCGTTGTTTATTTTGAATTTATAATTTAGCGTATTTATATAGGAAAAACAGAGTCCTAAATTTTATACAACTGCCATTATTTTCAGGACAGTATGAGTGTGTCCAAAGATGTTTAAATTTTTGAGACCAATGTTTTCATAAACGACTGATTATTTTGCTAAAAAACTTAGGCTCATAAAAAAATTTTCATTCAGAAATCTTAAAATTTATAAAAAAATCTTATCATATATAAAAAATTTTCACAAATTTGTTTATAATTTTTTTTTAAAACAATTTAAATATTTTTAATTCTAAAGTAGGGCCTAAAATATTTTGAACATAGGCAATTTTAAGATTCATTTTAGGTGATAAAATTTTATCTATTTCTTTTATGAGGGTTAGAAATAGGAAAATTTATTTTATTTTTTAATAATGGCAACTTCAAATTCCTTAACCTTAATGTGTGGGTAACTATAAAATAATTAGACGTGGATATGAAATAAAAAAAATTTTCGATTACACTGATCATCGTTGTAAATATTAATGGCTGAAAATCCTCTTGTTTTATCACTTAAAACAAATTCCAAATCGAAATTCACAAAGAAAGTTTCATCTGTCATTCGAATACAATTCCTCAATTTTTTTATATTCACACTATTTTTTACAAATTATATTTGTTAGTTTTATATATGTTGTTATTCAAAATGGTATATTTTTACTTAAATAATAAAGATTTTAGAATTAAAAGAAATAAAACTTTTTTTAATATAAGAAAATGGATTAAATGTTTTATCATTTTTAAGTTAGACCGTCAGAATTAGATAATTGATTTTAAAAAAATTAGTTTTACATTTTGATGAGGAGAATTATTGGGATTAACAGTAGCATTCCCATCAGAACCACTTTCTCCATTCTCTTCAACCGCCATGTTATTATCATTGTTTAAATTTGGATTCGCATTATTAGGAATTTCGTTGGCTCTTTGCCTCATAGGCGCGAGTAAGAGTCCAGCTTGATATCTTTAAAAAATATTTTTTTTAGAAAGAAGTAAAAATTTATTGCTTGAACTAATCCGATAAATCAAAATAAAATCATTTAGATACAATGTTAATATTATATTATAAGAATATTTTTAAATCCAAAAACATATAATCTTACTTTATGTATATTTTATTTATAGATTTTTCCATTTAAGTACAGGAATTTTTTTCGAAAATTTTAATAAATTAAAAAGTACATCGCTAAAAATATATTATATTGTATATAGATATCTTAGTCTCATGGTGTTCCTTTTTTTAGAAACATAATTATTTATTAATCTAATTACTAAAAAGACACCGCGTTTAAAAAAGTTATACATAGAAACATTATAAAGTGGAAAAAATATTGTATTGGTTAAAATAAATTTGGTATAGAATAAGACTCTAAAAAGTTATTAGGATACACCTCTAAGGCCATTTCTAAACAAGACGTTTTCAACAAAGCGAAAATAAACAGTTTAATTAACCAAGTGCCTAAGAATATAAGCTATGTTAATTTTATTTCCTTTTTTAAAAAAGGTCTGGTTTATAAATGGCTTAAAATTTATTAACCTGACGAATAAATATAACAAATACAATGCATATAAAATAAATAAAATTTTTTTTAAGGAACTTACAAAAACAAGAGGGTAGAGAAAAAGAGCACAACCAAAAAACGATTGATGGACGAGTAAAAGTAGAGAATGGAAAAGAGAATAACGACGCGGAAAAAAAGGTAGATCCAATCAACCCAATCCACATTACCCCTATAATATTAAAAAAATATATTATTATATTTCTACCAAGGAGAAAAAGTGAAATTTCAGGCCTGGATATAAATAATATTTTTGGCACAGCCAAGATTTTTAAAATTTCATCAAATGCGGCAGTCACACGAATTTTTAACTGATTTGATTGATATAATATAAATTAATTTTTTTTTCTTAAGCCTGGTCCAGCCCATGGGTATCTAATTGAAAAACTAAAGTCATCTTGCTTTTTCTAAAATCTCGCGCAATTAATTTAAATATAGTATAAAAATATTTTGCAACTTATTTTACAAGAATTTGCTTTCATTTAACTTAATATTATAAAAATTGTTGTTTAATTATTAAGGTCCTAATTTGTGTTGTTAAACGGCCCAATTTGTGTCGATTTTTAAAAATGGCTGGAAGATTTTAGCCAAAGTAATATTGTGCAAGCTTTGAGATTTGGCAAATTGATGTCCAAACCTTACTGCCAACTTTTGGCCGAAATTAAGTTATGACTCAAGATTTCACCCTAAACTTATTACCTCATCCTAAAGGCTTTGGCCTAAAAAGTGGCCTAGCTTTCCAAAAATTATAAAACCAACTGACATGTTTTTTAAAAAAAAAATAAATTAACCCAATAAATTTAAAAAAAAAATTTAATATTGACACAACACTATTATTATTCATACTGGTACAATTAATATAATACTGACAATTTTGTTATTATACCAAAAAAATATTTTTAAAATATTGGAGGAAAAGATATATGCTTTTATATGTATCTGCCTTCCTTATTCATGTATCATATACCTCTCATTATTGGCATTGGCGTTATTATTCACATTTGCATTATTGGGTTGCTGTTGCTGATTATTTAAGTGGTTATTCATTATAGCGTTGTAAGCTTGGCGCAGGGGAGATAGGTTTGGAGCAACCTCATAATTTAAGTTATTATTAATAAGATGAGGGTTATTGATTAGAAGATTTTGATAATTATTTAAATTGACATTGGTTGGAACTTGCTGAAAGCTTGGTTGATTGTTGTTATGGTACTGTTGCCACAGAATTGAATAGTAAGGGTGATGGTAATGACTGATGGGTGGTTGGTAGTTGTGGTTTGGAGGAACTGTATGATGCGTGATTGGAGTATTTTGATTAGGAACCAGGCTACGATACATGCTTTAGAGAATATAAAAATTATATTGGTGTGCAAGATGTATTTTTGTACTAAGAAAAGGGCCTATTTATTAGTAAATGAAAAGTGTTATATTTAGCAAAAACAAATATCATTTTGATAAAATATTAATATATATTAAAATTGCATATATCAAATTATAAATTAAAGTTTTCGAGATTTGATATAAAAATTTTCTAATATTGATAATATTTTTACTTTTGATAATATATTTGCCATGAATCATAAATTGATTTTTGCAAAATTTGATAGTATTCTGAGGAATATGGTGTGAAAGAATTGTAAACACTTGGCATGGCCATAGGTGTTGATGTTGATGAACTATTAGAAGAAATTAATTAAATTATTAATATTTTAATTGCAATTTTTATATAATTTTACAAATAATTCAGGTTGTTAGAGGTCGCTGTATTTAATTTTTCTTTATTTGTATTAGGAAGGCTATTATCATGTTTTGATACCTATATTATTTATATAAAATATATAGTTAAATCTAAAAAAAATTACTTTTGAATATGATAAATCAGGTAAGCTAGGTGAACAGATTATATGCAAATTATATGGAGAATGATCATCCTAAAATATATGGAAAGGTTACATATTTTACTAAAAAATTTAATACTTTTTTAAACACTTCAATCAATGGTTGATCATCTTTAAGTAATCTGCCTGCATATATAAGACGTTGTTGCCCAATTGTCTTAATTAAAATATATTAACAATATAATTATGTGATACATGAATTTAAAGAGTATATGCCTTATAGTTGTTGATACAACAGAGCTACGATAGATATTCCTAAATTCCATCTAACTGGATATTTAAGAAAAATTTTGAATTTGAATATGAAGAGCCCTCTACATGTTGGGCAAGTCACAAGTACTTTTATGCATTATAGCCCTAGGACTATTTAAATGTCTGTAGGCTCGTTAAAGGCATTGGACCAAGCAAGCCTACATATGTAATAACATTATTAAGAAAAACAAATAACTTACAGGCTTTAATGGGTATACACTCGTTAAATGATTTTTTAAATGATATACAGTCCATTTCCATGAGGCATTGACTATTTCATCAGTAAATATTGGGGATTTAAGATTTATTCTTAAATTTTCAGAATCCATTAACAAGTTTAAATATAATTAATTTGTGATTATAATATAAAGAATATAATAAAAGACCAATTGCAAAGTTTTACGTTAAATCAGATCATACGTATTTTAAATTTAACTTGCTCCAGGAAGATTGAAATACAATCATATGTTATTTATAACGTAATAATCGTTATTTTTAACTTATTTAATTTATTGTATCGTAAATAGGTTATATTAATTATTATTAAGATGTAAAAATAAAATTTCAATGAAGATGTACCATAGAAAAGTTATAATCGTTATTTTTGTAATTTTTTTAAAGCATAGATATTGTTAACATGTTAAATTAAAATATCAGTGAAGATGCACAGGAAAGTGACAATTGTTATAATCGTTATTTTTAAACTTTTTTAAATTTTTTTAAGGCAAATGGATAAAAATATTTATTGTTAACATGTTATATTAAAATTTCAGTGTAGGTGTACTACAGGAAAGTGACAATTGTCATATCGTTATTATTAAACTTTTTTGAATTTTTTAAAGCAAATGGGTAAAAATAGATATTGTTAATATGTAAAATTAAAATTTCAGTGAAGATTTACCACAGTAAAGTAACAATTGTCATAATCGCTATTTTTGAACTTTTTTTTTTATATATAACATAGAAAACTGACAATTGTCATATGTAATATTTTTAAACTTTTTTTATTTAACAAAGATAAAATATAGATATTATGAAAATTATTTATTATTTCAAAATTATTAAACTATTTTCTCTAAATGTAAATAAACTAAATTTATATCTATAATAATCACCTGACTCACAATCTACATAAAATGTTATAAATATTAAATAGACAATTCTTCCAGAACTTGATGATATTAAATTTTCCATGTACATCTTTATAGTATTTAGCTTCATAAGAAAAAAAATTAGTATTAAATTTTAAAATTTTGGGTTACAACACAACATTGAAAAATTTAAAAATAAATTTTTAAGAATCCTTCTATATATTTAGGTAGCTAACATATAAATGCAATATATAAAAAATTTAAAAATGGTTGGTTCAGTTTAGATTCTCTTTAATAAGGGTTAATATATATTTAACAAATCGTTTTAGGTTTGGTTTAGCTGAGTTAATAATCATGCTAAACCTTAGATATGAACTAAAAAGATTTTACAAAATACCATTATTGAAACAAATAAAGTCATCGAAAAAACACAACAAATAAACTGAATTGTATTGTTAAAATGTTAATTTTGATATATTTTTCAAATCCCGCATAAATTTTTTGAACTCTATAATTGCCCCATATATAATATTTCTTTATAAAATCAAGATCTACAAAATAATTCTCTACAAAATAGTTCTCTACAAAATAATTCTCTACAATGTAATTCTCTACAAAATAATTATCTATAAAAGTAATTCTCTTATAAAATCATTCTCTATAAACAACATTCTCTATAAAATCAATATCTTTGAAGTCATTCTCTATAAAGGATTCTCTATAAAATAATTTTCTTTAAAATATTCTCTATAAACGACATTCTCTATAAAACCATTCTCTATAAACGACATTCTCTATAAAATCATTCTCTATAAAAATTATTCTTTATAAACTACATTATCTATAAAACAATTCTCAATAAATGCATTCTCTATAATTGTTTTCTCTATAAATGTTTCTCTATAAAATACATTCTCTATAATGGTTTCTCTATAAAGACGTGGAACCCCATTAATTATATAAAAAAAATTATATATATATAAATCTTTTAATAATAAAAATAAAAGCTTCACCCTTCGCCTTCTATTTTATTTTAAATGCACATACGATTTTGAAATTTATTTTATTTATATATTATTTATTTTTTATCTCCCCTTCCCCTCCCTTGTTGAAAGAAAAAAACAAAAAAATATTATTTACCTTTCGTTTTATTTAACTTTTTTTTCCTTTCAAAAAAATAATCACATTATATATTTAAAATACCTAGACTTACCATCTTTTATATATGCATTACATCATACATAAAAATTGCACAAAACAAAATACTTAATTTTTGGTATTTATTTATTTTTAAAAATAGTACTCATTTTCTTCTAAAAGTTTATTTTACAAATAAAACCACTCTTAGCAAATAGATTATTTCGGCATGTTAAACCTTGATTTTTATGTAAGCCTTAAGATTGTGGTCATAGATGGCATAAAAGTTTGGACATTTATCAGCGAAATGTCGAGGTTTAGGTAAAGTTAAAAATGTTTAATTCACCTCAAATATATTTAGTATTTTTCTCTATTAAATTTAGCCCTTTTTGAAAATCTAGCAGTTTAGCACTTATATTTATATAAAATTCCTAAAAACATGATTAAAAAAAACAAATTTATCTTTCATCAAAGGAAAGGTGGGACTATAAAGACCTCAATCATTTTAAAAATTTCAGTACTTAAAACAAGTATTTGTGAATTTTCATTTTTTTCAGTACTTCAAGAGTTTGGGTAACAATTTTATTTTGTGCTTCAATTATTCGTCATTTTTTAATTAGTAAAATGATTTTATTTATTTAAATAATACAGTGGTTTTATTTAGTGGACATTAGGATTTCACTTATTATATTTTTAAATCTAGCACTATAGTTGAGTCAATATTGGCCAGTATGGTTGATATACAAACCCGAACTTATAGTAAATTTTTATATAAATAACGAGTAATGGTACGAGTTTAGATAAATAGGCGCGTAATAGTCAAACGAGTATAACTACTAGGAAAAATATAAATCATTAAACATGGCTAGATATAAAAGTACAATTTTGAACATAATAATAAAAACATAACACAAAATATATTAATTAAAAAATATTGTAAGTTATAATGCAGCGAAATGTCAAAGTATCCATAGAGACAAGGGAGATATTGGGTCCAATTTCTATCAGATTAAATTTTTATACTACATTAAAAATCTATATTTATATTACTTTCACTACATTGAAAAGAAAAATCAATGACATTTTCACTTAAATAAATTAACCTTTTGAAAAGAATTGAAAATTATTTCTTTTCTATATTAAATAAATAAAAATTACCATGTTAAATTATGTGGTAATATCATAAAAATTACTTAACAAATGGAAATATAAATTGTGTTAATTTTTAAATAAAAAGAATACAAATATATCTTTTCACACTGATTTTAACTTCAACAACCGCTAGTGGACAAAAATTTTCATCCCAAAAAATATTGAAAAATAGGTTGAACTAAAACTGAGTATTCAATCATTATTGATTTCAATTGAATAAAAAAGAATTATTTTTTATCATTAATTTTAATAATTTAAATTTGAGCATCTTTATCAGAAAATATATAAATAACTCATTAAATCTTAATATTTTATATGAATTGGCTGATAAAAAAAAATTAACTGCATCCCTAGTTGTAAACTTAACGCTTCATCAGTGTGTAGTATATAAATATCATAAAAATGCTACCTTATGAAATAATTTATGAAAACTAAACATTAATATTTAACAGGGGCCTCACTAGCCTAAACAATCACCAGGGGCTCAAAAATTCTTAAAATTATTTTCAAAATTACCTTTTACCTAACATTATTCATTTTTTATTTTATTTTTAACTTACCTTTTTTTAATGGTATAAAAGAAATTTTTAAGGTTTCTAATCAAATATTTATTGGGCTTGAGCTCCTGCTCCTGTTTAAATATTACTATTAGTTAGTTACAATACAAGTTATATCTTCAAATATGTAACTAGTTATTATAGTTAATAGTAATATTTTACAAAAAGGAACTTATAACAAATATGTATATGCATAGGGGTGGCCAGGGAAGAGGGTAAGGGGAAATCCCCCCTTCAGAAATTTATCACTTTTTGTGAATATCATTTTAAGCTAATAAAAAATATCCTCCTTAGTCCTCCCCCCACTCCCTGACTCCCAAAATGTATGCAAATATCTTGAACAATAATTTGAAAGAAAGAATGTAAAAGTTGATTTTTTCATAAAACTATTCATCATAATTTGTACATTTTTGGAAAAAAGCATTTATATATAAAAAAAGTGAACCAAAAATGTTTTTTAAGAAATGGAATATAAGCTAAAGATAAGTCTTAAGACAAAAGTGAAATGTATTATAATTATTTAGATCCATAAAATTACTAAATAATATAATATACCAAATATAATTTTTATAAAGTGAGAAATATTAATTTATTTATCTTAAAAAAAGTAAAATATAATTATAAAACTATTGATAAAATTAAACCATAAATTAAATAAAAAAATTAAAGCACAATACAAACAGTGGGATATTATATGTCGTAGATTTACAGTATATCTAATATTATCAATTATCATATGACAATCAAGTAATTTTTACCAATATTGTGAATTATATATTTTACAGAAAACTATAAAATATTGATAAGGACATCAGAAAATATCTTTTAAAGACATTATGGGATGAATAATATAAAGATTAATATTTAAAATCATTTTTTAATAAAAATAAATAGATGGCGTTGAATAATTGAATGCAAATTGTTGCTATATTTATTATCAAGAGCATTGATTAGTAAAATTTGTTAAAATATTAACTGTAATATATTCTCTAATATCAAATATGTCTTTAAAAGTGGAATTTTACCTAGTATTTTGTAATGAATTCTATAAAATAGAGGAATATCATCTATATGTCTTTTTTTATAAATAAATTTCTTATACTTGTTTGGAATAAATTATTACCATGCTTTTATATTAATGCATATACAAGTTATTTATTATACTTTATATAAACTAATAAAAAAATATTTCATATTTTTTATTCCAATTTTTTTATTAAAAATAACCTCCTATCTTGTAAAAATATTTTATGACTATATATAGACTAAGGTAACCCAGGCGAAGGCCGGGCAAAAGCGAGCCAAAGCCCCCCCCCCTCAAAAAAAATAGGGTCTGGGGGCAAAGCCCCCAGTAATTTTTCAATTCCCCCCTTAGGAAAATCCTGGCTACGCCTATGTGTATATGTAATTACATTGCTGTTACTTTAAAAATAATTTATATATAATTTTATTTGTTATATAAAATAAT